ACGACAACAACGACGAAAAAAAAAATTGTTTCGTACTTTTTTTTCTCTCTCTCTCTCTCATTTAAATGAACGATGACTATGCCAACGACAATGCCGTTGTTGTTGACACGAACACAGATGCAGACAAGTTCACGCAAAATACGATCACATCGCACCAGCTCTCTCGAAATGAAAAACGAACTGTTTTGTTATTATTGTTGTTCAATGTGCCCATAAAATAATTTATCATCGACTGAAGCCCGCGTTGAGATTGAAGAACGAGACGAATCTTGAGAGTGTGTATATTTTTATTGGAGAGGAAAAAAAAACTCATCACAGATATTCTTCTTAAATTTTAATTTCTCGACATTTTTTCGATTTTATGTTTTATTACGCGTGTGCAAAGCGTGTTTAAATGCTCGTCGCTGTGTGTTTCATCTGTTTTCACATTTTGTGTGTGTATGTGCTCAATCCGCCACGGTGAATAATCGCTTTTCGGTTCAGCTTTTTATGATTGTATTTATTATAATGAAGGGTCACCAAAGCGTCAATCAAAATATACATTCATTCAAAGAGAGATCCGCCGAAGAAATATTTATCGAAATAAATAAATGTCACAATTTGATGTTGTGTGCTTTAATCACATGCGCGCACACACACTCAAGCACTCAAATGGAGCGTCCGTGAATGCGGTATCGTTTTTAGATGTCATATTTACGGAGAAATCCGTTTGTTCCTCTCACTCATCAATTCGCCGAAAGCAAATCTTTTTTCTTTTTTTTTTTGCTGCGCTGGATTCCTGGTTGCTTTTTTTTATTTATCGGTAAACATTTACGAGAGGGACAAAAGTGTCGTTAAAATATACAAAAGAGACATCGGTTTGATTTTTGAATTCATAATTAGAGATCGAAACAAAAAACGAGAGGAAAAAAACGCAAATAAGATCACAGTGGTGCGCTTGCGGTCGCCTTTGTCTATATATAATAAATAGTCTGCTGTGATGAATGCATGTTTGCGACAACGTAGAATATGAATTGTAGCGAAAAATCGACAGTAGACCACCTGGATCTAATGTGTCCATCTGCGACTTTTAATTTTGTTAATTTCTTTAAATAGTTTTTCTTCTCTTCTTCGGTTCTATTCCGGTTCTAAAGGAGCCGAGAATCAAATGAACCGATGTCATGCCACTCGTGAGTACAAAAAAAAAAACGCCGAAATTGTTGACATTTTGGATGTTTAATTTGGAATGGGTCCGTTTCTCAAATACACACACGTATACAATGTTTTAAGACAAAGCGAACGAATCGCATAAAACAATGCATAAAATGTGAAACAAATCATAAAAACAATGATGAACGAAACGACGCGGTCATTTTGCAATTTACAAATTCGAACAAACAAATGGGTTTTTTTCGGGAACTCGGAGCATTTAATCATCTTTATAGAACAAGCCGACTTGATGAATGTCGACAGTGAAGGAGGAAGAAAAAAAAAGCGTCTCTCGTTTCGTCAAATTGGACAAGGGGGAGCCTCAAGTATCATTGGACGCGCACGAAATGCACGACAACGAAAAATCGAAACCGTTTTGTGACGCGCTCTCTCGCGAACTCACCGAAAAAAAAAGACTCGCACAAGAATCAACCACAACCATCATATCTTCTTTTTTTTGCTCACGACACACCAAAAAGCGGACACTCTCTGATTGTACGGTGTATCCAATAGGTTCCATTTATCATATGTTGTGTTCTCGAATCGACTTATTACGTTTGTTGTGCGCTGCCTTATTTTCCGCGCGTGTATCTGTGTGTCTCTTTGTTGGCTCTCCGTTAGCATTCACCGCATTGGACGCAATTCATTTTCGCTTTTTTTTTACCTTTTGACAAATATGTTTTATGACTTTTTTCTGCGTCGTTTTCGTGAAAGAGAGAGAGAGAGAGAGAGAGAGAGAGAGAGAGAGAGAGAGAGAGACAGAGACCCTTAACCAAAGCGATAATCATTGCCAATGAGCCTTTTTTGGCGTTTCTTTCGGTGCGTCGTGTGTTTTTTTTTGTTCATTTCGTCGTTCGATCGTTCAAGTCATCTTCGTTCTTCGGTTTGTGTCTTGCGTTTTGCTAAATGTGTATGATTTTGGTTTACCGTGCGAACTTTTTGAGCTGCAGGCAATTTGCATCGAGAATTTTTTTTCGCATTTTTACAATTTTTTTATGATTTATTTCGTCTGTGGGTTTGTGTGTGAACCGAATAAGTTTGTGCGAAGAAAGAGAGAGGGGGAGAAAAATAAATCAACAAAGTTTTCGCTTCGTCGCTGGCTATTTATCTGTCGACATGGTTATGTGTGTATTTGATCCGGGGCAGCGGTGAAATAACAAGAAACTGTCTCACTGCATGACACAAAACACATCATTGATCGCTTTCAGCTTATCATTAATCGCAAACATATTTTCGAAATCGAATTTGGCCAAAAGGTGTTAGAAATATGTATAGTTTAGAAGTTTGAGACATATCTGCAGTTGATTGCCTCACCACAACGACTCGTGCTCATTTATAAATCATTCTTTCGCTTTCAAGACAATCGATCGATGTACACACACACACACACACACACACACATACACCATTGGCATGTCTCGTGTGTCAGTGAAAATAAGTTCAAACATTTCGAAAATGATTCATTTCATAACGACTTGATCGAAATCGTTTCCATCCCAACTGCACCATCGATATGCATTCGCGATTAGCGACAACAATTCTAATTGGAGTGTGGCCATTAGACGAAATGAACGTTGAAAAATTTTGAACGAAAAGAAAACAACGAAATTGTGGCAAGCATAAATCGATCGGCCGGCAATAAATATAGAGTGGAAACAATAGACTGAAGCCCAAAGTATTATTATGTGTGAATAAAAATCTTGGGAACGCATTCAACGCGCGTTTGCATAATGAACGATGAAAACACGAGAGATGAAAATTCTGATGGGCCATAAAAAAATGTTTTGTTGTGATCGAGTGTACGAATGTGATTCGTAAAATCAAAATGATTGCCTGTATTCTGCGAATCATTATGATGATGATCGGGTTGCCGGTGACGATTTCAAGCGTTGACATTTATACGGTAGTTATTTTCTGTTCTGCAGCATAAATCCGAGATTTAATGGTTTGAGAGAAGCGAGCAAACACAAAACAGAAGAAGAACATTGACCACTGCGGATGATACAAAACCAAAAGAATTATCGCAGCAAGTAATTTATCATTTGGTGGCCGGTGCAGGCGATGCAAACCAAAAGTAAGTTATTCTTTGACTGCTCATCATCATCATCAAGCGCGGTGCTTATGTGGAAATCGACTGCCAAGCATAAAATGTGATTTAGACTCAGGCGACCAGCATAAAAAAAGAACCGATATGGAAGTTGGTGGTGTTTGTTGCATATATATGTTCATTACCCCGTTGCAGTACAAAATCAGAAAAACCAGTTCAATAAATGAAATAATAAACCGACAAATCGGTGCGAAATAGGAACGGAAAGTGTCGCGAGCATCTAGACGATATTTTCTCGTAAATCATTAAATTTATTGCAGCATTGCAACAAAATGGCGCGGTCAGACTTCTCTTTTGCCGACCAAGCAATGGTAATGACAAACAATTTCGTCATATAATTTTCTCGGTGCTTCTCTTTTATTATTGTACTTTTTCAATTAATCCGAGAGCGAGCGAGAGAGAGCACCAGAAAAAAATGAGTCGGTACACGGAATTAATGCGGCACAAAACTCGTTTCCAATGATTCGAATCACCCTGGCACTTTTATGTCTTTTGTATAAATAATTTTTATGTGAATAGTTGTCGTTGTTGTCATCATTTTTTTTTTCTTTCGTTCCCGTTGCCGCTGTCGTTGTTTTTGTCTCGAAACGATTACACTGTTTTTTTTCCCTGGTAGATTTTATGAACTTCATTTTCGACCCGATCGCATTCATTAAGATCATCCGCAGAAGGCAGTACAGTGACAACGATGTGTATATAATTAGATGCTTGTGTATGGGCCAACGCGAAATCAAAAGACACCCATAAAAAAAAGACGAACAACAAAATTATGCCAACACAAATAAATTGCGATTGTTTATAATTAAACGAGTCAAACGACTTTGACAATATCTTGCATGGTTCATGTACGACAGTGAATTGAAGCGATAAATTAAAAATAGCCCATTCACCAAGTCGGCAAACATAAACATTTACGGAATCTGTCATTTGTTTCACAAAGTTTTCCTGTGCCACTCGAAACCAATTTCAGAACAGATTGAGCTCAAAATTGAGTTTTCCTTTTCGTGGATTACTTCTTGGTACCGGCACCACATTTCATTTGAAAAATAGCCGAGAAAAAAGGTTTTGAGAATGAATTTAAAAAAAGAAGGAAAATTTCATGTTTTACGACACATTTTTTTTCTTCTTGAGTCATATACGATTCGTTTGCATACAATACACCGAGAAAATCACACGCAGCAAACAACATTGATCATAAATTATGATTATTATTTGTGATATAGATTAGAAATGGAAACACTACACTGTGTGTGTAATGTGTATACTTGTGACAGCCACAACAACGAGAAAAAAAAGACAATCTTCACTTTTTTTTTCTTACTTCGTTCATTATTTACACGTACGATTTTTATTACAATAGCATTTCTTAGCCTTCAACCATTCGGAAATGTTTATAATTTGAATTTCATTTGTCGCTTCTGAACACATGGTCGGTTTTAAAGCGATTGTCGCTTGAATCACTGTTTATTTTATACATCATGTGAGGTGTACGGATTAAGCCTAAAATTAAAACGGAAGATCGCTTGAACTGATTAAATGACAATACAATTGTCCAACGACCGAAGATTCTCCTCATGGATTTTCACTTATTTGCTCGCGTTGTCATCACAAATAATTGTACTTTCGACGCACTTGTATTCAATTCATTTCAACGATTGGACGAAGTTGAAACTAAAGTAAAGTTAATTCAAATTTTGACACTTACCCATAAATTTAAGTGGTTTTTTTTCGAAATTTCCTAATTTCTCCTGGATTTTATTTGGTGTCAACTAATATTTTGAAGGTTGCAAAATTGGTGGTATTCACAACGGTTGCTGGATTTTCCGTTTCAACGTTATTCCAATTTGATTGTTAACAATTTTTCGGTTTCAGTCGTATTAAAAAGTCGGTAGTTTTTTTTTATTTCTTCTCTAAATCGAGTGTGCATTTGGTAGATTTTTCACGAATTTCGGCACAATATTTTCATGGTGTTTTTCATATATTTCAATATTTGAATCTCACTCTTCTATTGCAAAGTTTCACTTGAATCAAGCAATCACTTTCATTGGAACAATTTTTTTTTCTTTCGAAAAATTTTCACACTTTTCTTTGTCAAAAGTTGTTATTTTTTTCAGTTACATTTTTTTTTGCACGAATTTCATTGTTTTCATTTGCAAAAATTGTCTAGTGCTTTTCACCGATACCAAGGAAAAAACTGAACAAATATTTTTTGTTTTCTCTTCAAAGTTCAACGAAAATATTTATGACTACGAAAATGGTTAGGTTTGATGCTGTAGTCCGCGGAATCGCTGCTTCTCGCACTGAAGACGGGAAAATGTCCGATGTGAGAGCGGAAAAAAACGACGAACGGCGAAAAAAATTGCGCGCGGTGTCCTCATGAACGTATTTATCAATACTAGCGCTAAAGTTAAACAGAACAAGTTAACCAAACAGTCAAAGCGCTTGATGACGGCTTCCACGACAGCGACACACACAAAACGAATACACAGAACCACGGCAATGTGACGCAAAAATATCCATGTATTTTTCACACAGAGCAGCAGCAGTACACAGCACAACAGCCCCGAACGAAACGAGAGACAGAGAGCAAACCAGCCCGCTGCTGTCGACAGAGACAGAAAATGAGCAGAAAAATTGTTATTTTTTTTCTTTTTTCTTTCCGATGCTCTCTGCTGTTGTCGCTTTATGTTTGTTATATGTGTCGTTTGCTTCGCTTCGTACGCGGTCACGTCTGCATGTAGTCGTTCATGTACTTCGGTTGCTCTCTCTCGAAAGCCAACCAACTGAATACATATATGTGTAAGATTAGCAGCAGCAGCAGCAGCAGCGGCAGTGGCACAGTACAACAAAACGATACATATGCACACACAAAATGACCGATTTTATTCAAACTCTTCTAGTCGCGCTGCTGGTCGACGACGAGGAGAAAAGAGCAAACACCGAAACCGATTAAAAATGCTTCTTGTATGTTGTTAGTTGTTCGTTTTTCTTTCTCTCTCTCTCTCTTCGGTTTGTTACTTCTTTAGCTGCTTTTTATTATTTTATTTGTGTTTGAAAGTCTCTTGGTTTTTTTTCGGTTTGCAGAGCGGCTAAAGCGACTCAACTCGAGCTGGTGACGGTGTGCGTGACGAGTGAAGTGACCAAAGTCAGGTGTCGCATTTATGTATGGATCATATACCGATGGATTATAAGCGCTCGAACGATATCAGCGTGTGTTTTGTCTTATTGTTGTTATTATTCGTGAAAATGCGTTGCGTTCTTAATAATTTTTTTGTTTTTTTTTTCTTTCTTCGCTGCTCTTTTCTCCTTTTGCAATTATTTAATATCATCCATTTAACAGCAGGAGCTTATTTGGTGCGCGCGCTGATCCAGATAAAACGTGTACTTTATTTGAATTTAATTAAAAAAAATTATATATATTCACACAATTTATTGTCCGTTGTGCTTTTTTAACGATCATCAATTTACTCCCATGCAAAAATGTTACGGTCAGAAAACTGATTAAACACAAATGATCGAATAGCAAAAAGAAAAAAAAAATTATCGAGAAAAAAAATCGATTCACGATAAAAAGAAATTTGCGTTCAAATTTGTGACCTTGCGTAAACAAATTTCTCTTTCGGAAACTGACGAAATATTCGCTATGAAGAATCGACTCGCTCGTGTTCGCTGACGAACGGCTTATCTTTTTTATCTTCTGTATGTTTTGATGTTCGCTAGCTGACTAAATGCATTCACTCGTTGCTCATGATGTTATGCCTCATTGTTTTTTGAAACGTTCGCCATACGTTCGCTCAAGAGCCAGAGTTTTTCCCAACACAACATTACACGTCACATGCTCACTCCTGCAAACACAATACAAACTCGTACAACATTTGTCGACGCAACGCAACATTTCCGATGTGATGTTGTACCAACGATGTAACACAACACGCAACAGTCTGATTTGAATGTGAGGGGAAGAGTGTGCTATCGAATCGCTTCTGCTTAGTTTTTCTATACCAAAATTAATAGATAAATTACTGATTTTATTGGATTTCCTTGGTACATCTTCATTCATCGTTTGCTTTCATTCGCAATGCACAACTGTTGCCCAGGCCGAAGAAGTTGTTTTCGTTTAAATTACGAATCATTTCCATATTGTTCGCAGGATTTTCGCCAACCAAATATGTCTCATCCAACGAGAGTTTCAAAGTTTTTGAAAACATTACCTGGAAATCGTACAAGAATTATTCCGAATGTGATGCTGAATGATGGTTAAATTCAAGAAAAAACTTTTGGTGGTCGTTCATCCCGAATTACAGGCGAATAGTTTGAGTATTTCCGAAGCCAAAGTCATTTTCTAGCTCTTTACGATTTGTACGCAAAAGTGAATGAAACACGCCGAGACATTCGCACTGCTCACTCTCGCTCGCTGACTACATCGAGCAGTAGCTGTGTGCTGCACGCGCGAACAACGAAACGAAGCGAACGACATGGCAAACACGAATGGGAAGAGAGAGAGAGAGAGAGAGAATGAAGAAAGAGAAAGAGAGAGAGCGGCAGAAACCAATCAGTGGCATATGATTGTGTGTATTTATTGTCGCAGAGATTCGTGCCGTTCGCATGTTGAGCACACTATTGTATGTGACTCTCGGTGTGTTTATGTATTTCAATTGTGGGATGTCCGTTCGAGAATCGTTGTCGTCGTCGTCGTCGTTGCTTCGTTATGTATTCGATTATGTCGTTGTTGGTCGCTAGATATCATTTGGAGACACATTATTTTGTGTTATTTTGGATTTTGCGTGTATGAGTGTGTCCCTTTTTCGGTGCGGCATGCATGTGTGTGTGTGTGTGTGTTGGTGCGTTTGCTTGGCTGTGTTGTACATAGAGCATTTGCTCTGGTGTGTATGTGGAAGGAACAACTTCGCCAGATATTCGCATTGGCTGCTATATTCACATATCACACATTTTATTTTGAACAAATATTGCTTTTTAAGTTGAGTTTGTCGTAGCCAGCCCGTTTGAGTTGATTTTTCATGTAAGGTTCGGTTGTTGCAGGCTGGTATTTGTGCCACATTTATACTAGTTTTTTTTTATTCTTCTTCTCTTCTATATTCACATAAGCCAACGACACATTGGAACATCTATGTGACTTGCCTGCAAAATTTTTCGATATTTTCTTCGTCTCATATCGTCAGCACTTCGATTACGATTCTATATTTATTTCTTTTGCCTCAAAACAGTCCGAGAAATTCCGTTTCACTCCTTTCTCACATCCTCTTGCACGCATCAATTTATTTATTCCGACTTTTTTTTTCTCCAAATCCATCGAGATTTTTTTTTCAGAGGTTTTCTCCCGTTTTATACATAGAATATATGGATTTTATACGCTTCGGTTTTTTTCTTCGCTTCCTTTTTTTCCATTCGATTTGTACATGAAAATGCGACAAAGTATTGCACATGCGTATACTTGGAAGTGGAAAAGAAATCAACCGAGTATTCGGATCATTGTCGCTTGATTTTGATTTAATACTTTAGCCCGGTATCATCCCACTCTATTCAAATCGTTTCGCTCTTTTTCGCTTTGGAGTATGTGCTGTGCTTTGGTATTTGTGCTATTCGAACTTTTCTTTCTCACTTTGAGCTATTCGATGGTCGAGTCATGACGGCGAATATTTTATCCAGACGATGTTATTTGTATCGCGTGAATCGATTTGCAAAGCATAAAAATGTGTATGTTTACTCAATTGTCACGTACAAATGGTCGAATTTATCGAACGAATAAATTGTGTGAATTTGCACATTTGGGCGCAATTAGTTTGGTGTATGGCTCAAAAAAGAAATGGTGACCTCCTTGGGAAAATCGATTTTTCAAGTAGGCAACAGATGCCGAATTGTGTATAAAGCAAGCGGTAAATCGAATTCTCTTCAGCCAAACACAGTCAAAGTGCCCAAAACAAATTTCAACCAATTAATGGCAATCATATTTTGCACCATTTTCACATTTGATTTTTATCGACAGCGCTCATAATTCAGTAGATTGGAGTTTTTTTTCTGAAATGTTGTACACAGAAAAGCATAACGAATGCCACTTCGGTGAAGAGAGAGAGAGAGAGAGAGAGAGAGAGAGAGAATCAAATAATATTAAAGTTGTACATGAAATTCGTTCCAATAAGAATTTGGCTAGAAAGTGTGCCCTGTGAGAATGGGCATGGAGAATGTGGCCAAGAGAAAAAAACGCAATTTTAAGAGGCGTGGTGACAATTTACATGCGCACGTAATGGAAAATTTGATTTTGTCACGCTAACCGGAAAATAACTACATAGCGCGCTGCTATTCAAAGCGACGTCTTCATTTTTCTTCCCTTCACCTATGCCCAAACAAAGCAACGTCAAATGCGTTAAAAGCAAATACACATCGACGGAATAAATAATAATAACCGGTCGCTGCGAAAAATGCACGAATTTATCGGAATAAAAAACAAACAAACACACATACAGGCAGGCTAATAATGTGAATTCCATTAAACAAAGCAAACAGCACTTAGTGAAGCGAACATGTGACACACATACAGTGAAACATTAAAAAGAAGTGAGACCCAAGCTTCTTGGGCAAAACTAAGAAAAGAAAATGAGAACGGAAGAACAACATATTGTACCATCAGCACCGCATGCATTGGCAATGTCTGCCGAATACGAAACAACATTCAGAAAAAAGGCAACAGCAACCAAACTCCAAAATAAAATTGTACGTAGCCAACGGCAATTAAGTGTCAATTGTCCAACACCACAAGCCATTACAAATTGTTCGTTCGTTTTGCTCGTAATATGTAGCGAGTTGAAGAGGTATGGAAAAGATCGGGGAGAAAAGAAGAAGAAGAAACACGCTGCATAAATGAAGCGGCATGAAGTGGATTTGATGTATGGTTTGGTGCGGTGTTTATGATTATGAAGTTCGAAACGAAGGCACCAACCAAACCATCGGATTGGTCGAAATTGACAGAGAAAAATAATCGAATGAAATATACACAAGAGGCCAAAAGTCGAAGCAAATCCAAACGACACAACATATTGTGCACATATTCTACCCCGTTTTATATAAACAGTGGAGAGAAGACACACACAAAAAAAACATACATACTCAGAAGTTGGGCATTTTGACGAAGTTTCGAATGAGAAAAACGAACGAGAGCCACACTGAATATAAAAACAAAGTATAAATAAGGATTGTAATTATACTCACGGCTGTTTTATTTTTCTTCAGCACATAAAATGCCATTTTAAATCGAGATATCGATTGGACGTTTTTCCATTTGTACGCGCTGACGGAAGAGAAACAGAGCATATGTGCCGTTTTTGACCGTGTATCGAGTTCTCAGTTGACTCTCGGTGCTCATTTATTTCGAAAAGGTGTTTACCAGCCGATCGTTTCGATCAGGATCACAATATTGAAAATGAGGCATTTTTTCGAATGGCTTGAGAACGAGTCAGGATCTTTGATTGTCCATATTGCAGCCATACATCATCAGATGCTCATGGAATCGATTCGGTCGAGTTTCTAATTGATACGAAAGAAAACATCATCAACAACAACAGAGAATAAGAAAAAAAACGCATAACGACCATTGTAAAAAATTACAGTTTTGTTCCGCACTTGAGTATAGCTCTGTGTACGCGCGTATGTTCCATTACAAAATTGTTATTAAAGCAGCACATATGCCAGGCGTAAACTCTATTTTTCCAGCTCTTGACCAATTGGGCGTCCAATATCACAAACATACACATACACATACACAGACACAAAACACAGCTCATTTTGTAAGTCATCCACACGCCATTCAGCCACAACAAAATAATGCGAAACAAGTGACTTTGGATGCCGAAACATTTTAACGATGTGCCATTTTTGATTGGATTAATAAAAGTCATTATACGTAAACCTTGACGAAATTCCATATTTTGTGCCGCTCGCGCCATCGTTACCAAATTCCAATGCACACAACGACGAGAAATAATGCGAGATAATGGTCGCAAAATAAAATCATCGAAATTGTATTGAGCGGTAATAACTCGCTCGTTTCAGTTATCGAGTGACTGCGTCGCACATTCGCATCCAGTTTGAGATTTGTCGTAACTGTAACGCACACAGCATTTACGTCAATCTTAAACATCTTCGTTCATGTCCATGATTGTGTTACCTTAAATGTAGCGAGAGATCGAAAGAAAGAAAATAAAAATGAAAAGACCAAATCTACTTGGAAATATTCGCTCATCAAAGGCAGAACAAAGACATGAGCACAACAGCAAAGAAGCGAAAGAAAAAAAAACGATGATGGTAGCATCGAGAAACGGTTTCAACGCTTTGATGACTGTTAATGATATAATTCGCTCATTTAGCCAGACATTTTGTTTTCGTATCGACGACTATTCATTAATTTTCACAATTCGCTCACTTCTTTTGTGGCGTGTTGTTTTTTCTGTAGCCACGTGCAATGCAACGATGCTCTCTTCATATGCACAATCATTGAATATTTAAGTTTCCCTTTGACGATTAAGAAAGTAAAACATATACACACACACACATACATACAGTCCGTTATTGTTGGACTGAAACGACTGTGTTTTCATCTTCATCAAAATTCCATGCTATGATAATAATGTGACTAATTAGGTTCGAACGTACGTGTGTGCACATCGCAGTGTTATATATTAAATTTAATACGTTTTATTGTTCCACGCCAGTCG